CCATAAGTGACCCCCAGGGCAGTACCCAGACCCCCATACATGTCCCCAGGGCAGTACCCAGACCCCCATACATGTCCCCCAGGGCAGTAACAGGATCCCAATACATGTCCCCAGGGCAGTACCCAGACCCCCATACATGTCTTCCAGGGAAGTACCCGGATCCCCATACATGTCCGTATACACCTTTTATGGCCAATAACTTGCATATAAGCACAGGGGTGTGGACATTTTTGAAAAAACAACTTGTCCAAGGACTAAAGCGGGGGCCGAATCTACCTGGCCTGATACAAAAAAAATAATTTTAACCAAAACCGTATTTAGCAATGCTAAGAAGCGCTTCTCATTGGTCAGTGCCATCAGGTGATCACGTTGAGCAACGTGAGTGAAATTCACAATACATGGAACAGGTACAAATAGTACACCCGTGCTGGTGGACGGGAAGGACCGTTCGCCGAAAGGTAAGTATAGCGGGAGGGAGATTTTCATTTCCCCCAAATTACCTGGGAAAGTGAATTTACCCTTTAGGGTTGGTGCAGACTTGGGGATTCCCGGGACGTGCGATCGTGTGCGTTTGCATACAGCGGTTGCATCCGCATGTATGGGGTTACATCTGCGTGGCAATCGCTGAAAAAAAGGTAGATGTACCTATTTTCACGACATGCACCACGCATTGTTTTCAACAGCGATCGTGTGGGATCGCCCAGGCGGTATCGCAGCAGGAAAACGTTCAATCTGCCTGGCACGACTGGCATAATGGCACTGACAGCACGATCGGCGGTGGTGTGCGATTCCGTGACCACCCAGCCATCCGCTCGATTTCATGCACGATGACCGGGCAGTCACGGATCGCACACCACTGCCAATCGCACTGGCAGTGCCATTATTTTCTAATGGCACCCCAGTCTTGCCAGGCAGATTGCAAGGCAGACTGCTGCAATACCGCCCTGCCCGTGCGGTTGCACACGATCGCAGCTGGGGCAGCGGGGCTGGTTTTCATTTTATCAATTTTTATCAACTTTGTAACATTTTTTTCATTTGTTTTATAATTTTTACTTTATCGCCTTTTTATTTTTTACATTTTTATTTAGTTACATTTTTAATTATTATTTTTTACTTTTTTAACTATTTTTTTTTAAATTTGGAGGTGACAGGGTCTCTTTATTGACACTCTCACCTCCAACACAGGAGTTCTAGCACAGCACTGTGACAGTAACGAGCGGCGGCCGCCAGGGACAGAGGCTGAGGGAGGTGACAGAGCCTGTCACCGCTCCACCGTCCGGCTTTGTCCCTGCTCCGTCCCCCCCCCCCGCTCTCAGCG